ACCTATTTAATTAATTTCAATCATGACAGCAAAAGATAAGGATGCTTGTTTCTTTTAAACTATTTGATGAAAACGTTACATAAAATTGGGGTTGCATAATCATCCGAAATTATTATTATATTTTTGACTGGAAATTACAGGATTTATGCAATTTTAGTTTAATTAATGTCATATAAAACTGACTGCTCGTACAAGTTTGCTTAAAACATGCAACTCAAAAAACCCCAAAATGGCAGCTCAAGAAGTAGATCACGCGTGTCCTGACCTTCTTATATAGACCTTGGAACAGTCGGAAGCGCGGCCATTTTGGAACCATACGTAACATTAACCCTTATTTCTTTTACTACGATTACTAAAATTGAAGTTCATAATTTAAGAATTAAATTATAGTGGTAGAAAATAATATAAAAGTATTTATATTATTTATACTCGTACAATTTCAAAACTATTTTCTGTAATAATTTGTTTCTGACTTAACGGATATTTTGATATTATTGACGACAAAAGTTTAAAATCATTGATTTCCTTACCTGTCCATTATTTTTGTTTGACGGAGTTGAATTGTTTGGACCACGTGGCATGAAAAATTTTGTCAAGGTCCTGATGAGAATGTGCAGACAACTGAACGTGTGAAAGAAGACCACTGAGTCAAGACCGTTTACACGTGCAACTATCTATGTTGCTGACGTCGACGGACACACACCATTTGTATGTTGTGATTGGATAATTTAAATTAGCAAGTAGTGACACTAGTGAGACTTTATTAAACTAATTTTTTTCATTTTTTCGTTCAGGCGTGAAATATTCTTTTGTACCGTAAATAGTACTTGAAATATTATAATGTACTGAAAATGTACTAAAAATCTAAATGTACTTTTAATTTACTGGAAAGGGCAAAATGTACCAGAAAAGTACAAATGTACTAAAAACGGCGACACTGATCTCAACATTCGTTAAAAGTAGTTCTTTTTTTCAATGTTGAAGTAGCGCTGTTGTCAGCGCTGTCTTAACACACTTAGCACTCAACAGATATGTTGACTGCTACTTTCCAATAAATTGTGGGTAATTAGTAACACATTTGAATGGAATCCATCTTGCTGAGAAGGGAATTATGGGAACTCAGCACTTGGTACTCGAGTTGGAACGTCGTTGATGACGTCAAATTGTTGACTTCAACATTCAACACTCATGTTGAAAATTGGAATGTCTTGATTGCTTAAGCTTGCTTTCGTCGCGGAGTGGCGCTCCGCGACGAAAGCAAGCTTAAGTAATGACGTCGTCGAACGTTACACACTCGGTAAGTAATCCTACAATTTTTTGTCTATAGCATAGTTTTTATGGATTATTCCCAAAAAATTATACGTGTTTTGGAAATGTTGAGTGAAATTAGTCTAGAATCGATTAATTTTATGGAAGAAAACCTTCCAAACAGCAGTAGTCTCTAAACTGCACACATGTTGGGATGTGATTGGCTTATGTATTTATGTGACTCGTACAACACGGAAATCACATAACATGGAACGTATCTACCGTGTTATAGAGGGATCGACTGTATTCTGTTAAGATTAATAATCGTGAAATAACGTTAATGAAAACATTAAACAATGAATATCAGATAACATAAATTCGGTATAAATGTATACTATTTTGTGTGAATTTTCACTGAATATATTTCAACTAAACTTAAATAGCTAATATTTAAGAAAAGAATAGTTTTAAATTTCACAAAGTTGTGTTGTATGTCACAATAACAACATGTAAACAGGAAACAATATACGTTAAAAATTACTAGAAATAGAAAACTGAGATTATCGACAATTAATGAATGTAGAATTTTAGATTTTGATTTCTGTAACATGCTATTACGATTGATAGAGTGATACAATACAACACATCAGCAATCTGTCATCATTTAAGAATTTTTACGAAAAACCGACATTTTGGTGTGGCAAATGTAAAGAAGATTTGAAAAACTCGGGTGGCCAGCCCATTAGTCAAGTAATAACACGCGAATATTATTTGGGAATTTTCACCTTTTGCTAGGCCAAAAGCTTATTAAAAATAATAGTATTTCGAGTTTGAAAAATATTACTTTGTTCTTGTTCAATACTAAGAAATTATAGAAAGAATAATTAGCTACAGTCATTGTCTGTTTTTTTAGCGTGAAACTACTGCAATCTGTAATCAAAGTATTTGCCCTAAATTTAATAAGGTTGTGCCACTGTGCCGAATCAGATAAATACTTCATTAATACTATAATATTTCATTTATATACATATTACGAGAGCTTTATTGAAGTGGTTTTGTTGCTCATATACTATTGTTTCTATCAGTGATTATGATAAAAGAGAATGCCATGTGTGGAAGCAACAGATATATGTTTAGTACCTAAGATATACAAGCTATAACTGTCTTACTGATAATAGCTATCTACATTGCTCTGAAATTCAGTATTATAAAAGGAAGAAAAATCTCTGTTCATTATATCAAAAGCTACTTTTAATAAGTAAAAGAATTCCTGGAAGGAATTTTGATTTACTATTTGGGATTTTTTCTTTTATTATTTATTAAATTTAAAATTTTATCAATCACATTCAGCATAGGTTTATATTCCTAACTGATGAAACAAAACAGAAATGATAACGTAGCATTGTTTTTTACAATTTTTTTNCCTGGAAGGAATTTTGATTTACTATTTGGGATTTTTTCTTTTATTATTTATTAAATTTAAAATTTTATCAATCACATTCAGCATAGGTTTATATTCCTAACTGATGAAACAAAACAGAAATGATAACGTAGCATTGTTTTTTACAATTTTTTTTTCATTTGGAGCATGTATACACTTATTTACGTCATATCCATGCTTCTGTTGTCAGCAGTAGTATTTACCGTAATTTGAAAAAAGATATATTCACTTGTTAAAGAGATAAACAGCGAGTCTGAAGAATTGAAATCCATTTTGGAATGCCTGATGAAAATGCATTTGGATTTACGTAAATAATTTTAAGAAATAAACGAAAAATGGAAAATTTTTATAAAAATATTATACATTTACTTCCTGTATATTCAAATAATAATATCGCAAAGCCCGAGTAGTATATAATAAATCACCAAACGATCGCTTAAATTTCGGGTTATAATATGTCTAATTAAATGATTGATATAAAATAATTTAACAATAGAGGTAGACGTAAGGAGCCATCTCTTAAATAAATTAATAATTATAAATAAATAAATAAATTATTAAATAAATTTAGAATCTTCTGGAATGAAAGAACTGGCCCGGGACGGAGCTCAAACTTTCAACCCCCGCTGGAAGCGACAGATTGCTTGGGGTCCGGGTGGCGTAACTGGCAAGCGCACCGCACGGCAAGTGGAGGTTGCGGGTTCGAGTTCCATCCCGGCTGGTCACGTAGAGTTTGTCGGATTTTCTTCACATGTATAATACGTGAATCAATTACTTTAAAAGATTTCTTAAGTAGGCCTTTAATAAACCTTGGAATCTTTTGTTGCAATTTTGGAATAAATATTACATCATGGATGCCGTAGACAATATCCAGTTCGCTTGGCAAAAATTGACTGATAAACAAAGTTTTGAAGAAGTTATGGCTGGAAGTATCGAAGAATTTTCAGCAAGAAAAGCCTATCGTTGTATTGTTAAAATGACCAAATTGTCAACTTAATCGATACAGCACGTCTAGGAGATGTAGAGGAACAGGATTGACGAGTTATTGCAGGTGTTTGGTGAGACCGTTACCGAAGACAACGATGAAGAACTGGTAGAACAAGGAAATCTTGTAAAACTGAATAATAGAACCCAGAAATATCTCTACAGATGTTTTTAGTAAAAGTTTGGTAACGATAACAGAAATCGTTGATTAAATTGTAGGGAATGATTCAGAATTTGAAAGAAGTGCAAGAGCAAGGCGACGCGTTTTAAATGTCATTTCCTGCTACCGACATTTGCTTAAGCAAAAAAAAGCCATTTATGAAACTACAGGACTTTATCGCAAAAAACAAATATTTCAGATGAGTCAGGATCTTCGTCACAAAAAATGAACTTTACATTTCTGTGTGCATATGTTTATTTGTTATTTAACACATATTATACAAATTAATATAAAAAAATATCTTAAAGCAAAATTTTTTATTTTTGGTCGCGTGTTCTCATTTTTCTGTTTAATCTATTAAAGTGACTTCGTTTAACGCTGTTTCGTTGAGCGTTGAATCCTCTGCGTTAAGAGGAGTCTTATTGTAATAATTAATTTATAAAATGTCTGTATTTTATTTTGATAAAAATTATTTTACGAAAGGATTTTAAAATGTTTTATCGGTCATTTCTGTTGGTGGTTTCTTCTATATAAAAATACTTCTTTATCAAGACATTTAAAACCATTACTTCATATTTCTGCTCGTGATCGCATGTGTTTGTCTATTCTTAATAGAATGTGCGTAAATTAATTCTGAAAACAGACGTTGAAACCACTGTTATATACTTTAAACTTGTCATTTAAATAGCTATGTCACAACAATATACGTTACTTTTGTTTTTGTGTATATTTAATAATTAAGTGTGATGAAGACACTTATGGTCTAATTTCTTTTGCATATTAACGACTGTATTGTTTTTTACTAAACAGATAATTTATTTGTGAATGTAAGAATATATGAAGTCAAAATTTACGAACATTTCTAACAATGTATGATGATGCATCAGAGAAAAGATATGTCGTTACTATTTATTGCATGTAATTAATGTTGACTTTGTCAAGAATTAAAAGAGAGACAGACTGTTAAATATTTTTTAATTGTAGCATCTCTCAATTACAATTTATTAAAATATAATAAGAAATTTATAAATAATTTTAAAATTTATTTAATTATATAATGTTATTTAATTTTTAACAATTTACAGAATTTATTTCTAACTTGTAAATTTGTGTGTACTTCTCATATGAAGTGCCAACAGTGACAAAAGTTATTAAATGTGCATAAATTCTTGCATACGATGAATATAGCATTAAACAATTCATTAAACTGTAATTACGAGTGAAGTAGAAAAAACGTTACGTCTTTCTTTAGTTTCTGGTTTCCTTCCAATTAATTATCTTATCAATCAATATTTCAAGCAGAAATGTGAAGAAAGAAATAATGTAACCTGCACCCAACAAGTATAAATGATTTGAAATGTCCTCGAATTTAACAGAACCGTCCGATTCCACTTCATTTTCATCTTCATCCAAATATAATCCTGCAGTTAAATTCATCTTTTTTTCGACAAGGGTTCTTGCAAGTTTATCTGGCAAGCCGCTCTGCTGAATAATATTCACCCTGAAATAAGCGACAGATTTTATAACTAGAAATTAAATAATAGAAATCAAATATACTTACATTCTGATAACTTCCCTGGTGTGATAAAAGAGTTGTGTGTTGATTTGGACAAAGAGGAAATTAGTAAACAAGATATCGGATGACAGATAAAGTTTAATTTCTTTTCCCCATTCTGTCTGTAGCATAGACAATGACCACTTTGAACTAATGAAGACGTAATTTCCTTCAATAAACTCTTCTTTAGGTATAATATACTCGTATAGTACACTCACGTCTTCATTTCTTTGTATGGAATTTGCTATTGAATTAATTTCATCGTCCTTTATTGATAGCAAATCCAGTCTCTAATAAATAAAATTGAACGTCGTTTAATTGTTACTCGATCTTTAGTAGCATAAATATTTAGGAAAAAACTTATCAAAGAAAGAACACAGCAGTAATTGTTAATGCAACTTTTATTATGCTACGAAATGCATTTCCGGCCTTGTGCTTCTCTTTACACCTTCATCATAAATGTACTTGATTAAAGTATAAATGCTGTAATTTACTATATTTAATTTTTTTTAATATGTGTATTATGCATTCAATGTGGTGTATACATCATTTATTGTTTAATTTAGTAGATCTGTAATATAGAAGAAAAGAAAGACAAAAGACCCCAAATGCATTTTCTCAAAATTATATCTGACGTATAGACATATTATATAGTGTGCATGCAAGTATGCAATAATATAAACATATATATGAATAAATTTTTATACTCTGTTCAACCATAAATGCTTCTAATATTCATTATGGGATCCTTCAGATCGACAGTGGGCCCTGTCGAGTGGTGAAAAAGTTCAACATCTTTTTTCAGAATGACAAGCTGACATTCATAATTACGTGAAATCAATGCTAAGTGTGTTCGTTTATTTATATAAAATGCATTCTAAAAAAACAACTACCACTCTCAAGTCACAAAAATTTACGTAGAAATTAACTGTTGAAAATATAATTTTCTTGAATTCTCGCTGTCCCGTTTTTAAAATAATTCATTGTTATACTGGTTTGTGGGATAGCGTAACATTACAAAGTATTTGTTACATGCTACTAACATAGTCTACTTTTGCTCTCAACAAGACAATTTCTACGGAAAATACCACACTTAAAATTAATGCATATTATATCATAACTTAATATATTGAATCAACTATATAGCCATAATGACAAAATACAAACCGAGTCAACATGAAAGATACGAGCTTCGGATGAATCAATAAATATTAACGGAATATATTTGTCTTTCTCCAATGCTAGAGCTAATTCTTTGAAGTTTTGAGGAATGGCTTCGGTTCCTGGATTCATCATAAAAGAAGGTAATATCCCCAAGTATCCGGAACTCAGAATAAAAATCATCATGATCCAGACACAAACCATTACACGAAATGTGTAGGAAGGAACTTGGTTGAAGTTCACTCCTGCGAATGTTTAAAAATGTCATATAAATTTTATATATAAAAAAATTTCTTATATATTTTATAACTAAAGTATTTTTATTCATGTACAGATAATTCGATTTATTTTATTTTATTTATTAAAATTCATTATTTTTGGCCTATTTTAATTTTTATTCTGTAGGGGAGAATGGTGCACAATAAGCCAATGAGGTTTACTTCAAATTTATGCCGTTTTGTAATACCATATTACCAGCATGATAACAGTCATAGTTTACTAATACACAGTTAATGTAATTTTTATGGGAATAGAAATTTTCACAGTAAGATCTTTTTCATTATAAGTCTTCAAAGAAAATGCTAATGTAATATTTTATAGCTGATTACTATATCACAGGAAACTGACTAGAACTTCAGTTTCATATGATATATCAGTTGAAATATGATTATTGAGCGTCTTTCCGCTAATACAAATGCTTCTCCAGTGTTACGGGATTAGACATATTTCACTATTTTATAGAGGTATGCTTACGTTACACAGTGAAACACAATTAACTGTACACAGTAAAACGTCTTACTGTGTACAATCTCTTTATAGAAATCCTTATTTCATCGAAGCAGTTTAGAGGTTTTCCTAAAGCTGCAGCCAGGAAATCAAACAGGAGTACCAGAAGGTGATTATGACTGACACTTCAGAAAAATAAAAAATCTGTAGCAAAAGCAACAACATAATAATCAAAAGACGTAAAGTGCTTCTAACAGAATCTTAATTAATAGGCCTAGTCCTGATAACAGCGGCACTGACGAGCTTACACAAAAATCAAACAGTGATTATTTTTCCAGAAGTTCCTGTTGCAGGGCAATCAGATTTCTTTGAAGAACTAGATCGTAGTCCTAAGGAAAGAGGCTGCGTTCTAGTAGAGTTTCTTGACAACATGTATTATATTGAAAAAATAAGTAAAGAGAAGGATGATAAAAAGGGATCTCGAAGTTTCTTTCTTGAAATTTGAAAAGTTTCTTTTATATCCTAGATTTGCATATTCTACAAGTATGAACATATTCGAGAGAAAAACGTTGCTACTCTGTTCCACGTCATTAACGATAAAAGATTAGAAAGATACACGAAATTTTTACTGGATTTTACAAAACAAAATATTTGTTCGATATGCTTAACTTCAAATAAGTCTGCTAGTCTCATCAGTGTGTACCATGTTCTGTCTATCAATATAAGTGGTTAAAACACAGTGAAAGATATTACCAGCTTTTATACTTTTTATTCTACAATAAATATGATTGTAATTATTACTCAGTTCTACTAATTTAATATTACTCCATGCACTTATGTACAGTAGACCCCCCTATAACACAGGTTTCTATAATGCGAATTCCTATAACGCGGCGAAAAAATTGCGACGGTATTCGTATAAAGACGCTAAAAGGGACTCGTAAAACGCGGTAAAACGTCATCGCCGACTCGTGTCGCGACAGGATTGGTCGAATCTGGACCAACAGTAGACGAGCAGCCGAACTACTTAAACGCTACAGAGAGTTTAGATGGGTAAGTTGAGTTTACTATCGTCTGTACAGTATTAACTTAATTAATTTTAACTTTATTATAATTATATATATACATTCCGCCGTCCAGCGCCACGCTACGAAGAGTTTAGGCGAGTAAGTTGAATTTACTCTCGTCTGTACAGTATGTAAATTAAATACCGTAAGTCTAATACAGTACTATAATTTTATACATTTCTTGTGAAAAAAACATTTCTTATTCAACGGCCATAAAAAATATTTATATTAATGATGTCTCCAAAGTTCAACGAATTTTTCGCAGAAAAATAAGTTATCAGAAATCGCGGCCATCGTTTGGTGAACTGCTCCGCTACAAAAACAAGCTTAAGCAATGGCGACGGCGAACGGTGCACACTCAGTAAGTAATCCTACAATTTTTTGTTTATAGCATAGTTTATACTGATTATTTTCAAAAAAAATTATACGTGTTTTGGAAATGTTGAGTCAAATTCTCTAGAATCAATTAATTTTATGGAAGAAACCTTTCAAACAGCCGTAGTCCGTAAACTGCACACGTGTCGGGCTGTGATTGGCTCATGTATTTAAGGATTTCTACAACGCAAAATTCGTAAAAAGCAGAACGTATCTATAGGGGGTATATCGTATAATAATTTTCAATAAACATTACAAAAATAAATATTATTTTCTTGTCACGAAGCATTAAATGATATAGCATTGTTATTATATTTGTAAAAAATAACAACTTATCAGAAAGAATTGTACGAAAAGCGAGGCGTTCGAAACCAGTAGTCTTACTGTATATAATATTAAATTGTCTCACCTTGTCTCAACAGAGAAAGCAAAACGAGCCAACAAATAGTAGACAATTTTGGGGGATCTTTACCATGGATCCGTGATTCTATTTTTTCAACTGCATATACACATAGAATGAAGAGAACCAACGTGATGCAAAGACATATCCATACCTATTAGATTTACGAAAAGCTTAACCAATGCAAACTTTTTATTTTACTATGATATATTAAGATATAATTTAACAAGTAAATTACCATTACGGCAAAAGGTTTGAAAAAGGTTTGAATTTTATTCAAGGGTTTTCCAGCTTTCAAAAGAAAAACAGTAGAAATATCTAAGGCGGGTGAGGTAGATATCATGTAGTTTCTTATTCGAACCTCTGTTGTCATGGATAGATGATCCTTGTATAAAAACACAACAATAAATATAATTGTTTGATATATATATATGTGAAAACATTTATTTTAAAATACTAACGTCTTGTCTAAACAAACCAGTTTCAATACATCTGTAAGAAATAATTACATTGATCAATTTGAAGTTAAAATATTTTTGATAAACAGAACAAATTACTTTAGCTTTAGTCCTGCACACAATAATCTCATATACTGCAGCTTAAATACAGTTTCTTTGTTACTCGACCCCTGAAAAATATAAAATTTTAACTTTATTTTATTTTTTAGTGTTGTAAAACGTTTTAAATAAGATAACAAAACTGACAGATTTTAATATATCAGTGAACATTTATTAATGTTTAATTCTCATATTAAAGAAATCTAAAAATGAATATTTTTATATTTTTAACTATTATAAAATTATCAAAAGCTGAATTTTAAGGGTAGAAATAGGTTACTATAAAAATTGTAAATGCTAATAACAAGTAAAATCGTTATTAAGTCCGATCATATTGGAGATAAACACGTCCCCATTATCTCAACATTTAACCACTAAAATTTAACGTTTAACAAAAATAATTTCCTATTTTTTTGCATTTCTCGACGTTTCAAAATGTCGTAAGTTCAAAAATGTATATATCTAGAAGTGGGCAAGTTTTGGCCAATCGTCATTCTTTTCTTTCTGTTATATATAACAGCCAGAAAAGTAGAAACGAACCTATAATAATTAATTACGACCAAAAATATTTGGTTTTGGAAAAAATTTGCAAAAGCAACTTAACTTTATTTTTAGTAGTTTTAAAGAGAAGAGTATGGTTATACAGAAATTTAAGTGTTCGTGCATCAGCAACGAATTTGATTTATTATACCAGTCGACCCCCCTATAACACGAGTTCCTATAGTTCGGATTTCTGTATCACGGCGAAAAAATTGCGACAGTATTCGTACAAACATGCTAAAAAAACTCCTATAATTGGTTAAACGTCATCGCCGACTCGTGTCGCGACAGGATTATACAAACCGTTGAGTTTAAACGAGCAGCGGACCTACCAAAAACCATTTATTATTTAACGTCCATAAAAATTATATTTATATTAATGATGTCTCCAATTTCAGCGAATTTTTCGCAAAAAAAAAATAATTTATCAGGAAGCACGCGAGCGCCATTCTATGACAATCTCCACGACGAAAACAAGCTTAAGCAACGGTGCACACTCGGTAAGTAATCCTACAATTTTTCGTTTATAGCATAGATTATATGGATTATTCCCGAAAAATTATACATATTTTGAAAATGTTAAGTCGAATTAGTCTAAAACCGATTAATTATATGGAAGAAACCTTTCAAACAGCCGTAGTCCGTAAACTGCATACGTGCCGGGCTGTGATTGGCTGGACTCCTAAAAGCTGGATTCATAAAAACAGGAACGTATCTACCGTGTTATAGGGGGGATCGACTGTACTGTGAATTTCAAATTACACAACATGATTTACAGACATTAACGCACATACAAAGGCATGTTAACATGTCTGAAGTTTTGTGCACAGAATGTATGAATGCTGCAAGAACTGCATGCATCAATTAATATGGTTTCTATTTGGAATACTGTACGCTTTAGACTTATGCTTTCAAATGAAGAATGACAGTTATTTTGCATATGGAACGACTTCATTATTCAATTTTTTGCAAGCATATATTTGGATCTAATTTGTAGTGAAAATAATGAAGAGATGGATAAATGGTTAAAAGTGTTCTTCATTTTTGCCTAAATATTCAAGCTGAAAATTTAAAATAAATAATTTATTTTATTAAAATTAATTGAAATCATTTACAAACATTTCAGAGAAGTTCCTTAAATAAAACATAATAATTGATAAAAATTGTTAGTAAAGTTTATTACCAAACCAAAGTAAACGTAAATTCGTTTTCCTTCGATATCGTCAATAGTATCGTTTCTTGTTACTGGATACTCCTTACAACCACTATATTTACACTATAAATAAAATTCATACAGAAATTTCAATATAAATCACATTAATGCGAAAAAATAAGATTAATTTAATTTATGTTTCATTATTAATAGCTCGTTCAGCAATGTCGATAATAAATACAAAGTGATTTTAAAGTCTCAGTCTATGTAAAAAGTAATAACTAATTAAGGTCATATGAAAGATACTGATTTAACAAGAAAGAATTGCTGTAGTTGTGTATGTTGTAGTACATGCACAGTGTACTTTGTGCGTTTAGTAACATTCTAACGTAATAACATGCTGTAGTACATTGTGAACATGCAGTAGTACCATGTATTAATAATAAATATAAGTCAATAAAGGCAAGGCACATGACAATTGTAGTATTTAAAAAAAACCGGTTAAACTTTGATTTATTAGAAAAATAAAAATTTCATTATATAGGTTGTACCACATGTGAGAAGCTGGGCCTACTGAAACTCAATAAAGAATACATGGAAGTTTACGACATTTTTTTCACATGAAATCTGTAGGGTGTATGTTGTGCCAAGATCTCTGAATATATCATATAGAACTTCATAAGGGCACAACATTGAAACTACATACTCCTAAAATATACTGTGTGCAATTTACCAAATAGTTAAATACAGATTTACTGCACGATTAAGATGAAAATCTTGAAACCAGTAAAACACTTAACCCCTGCATTTAGGGAATTAATGGTAATGAAAAAGAGGAGAGAGTATGCTTGCTTTTTTTAGTTAAGATACTGTAACACAACACATGTGCGATGTGCCTAAGGCAGGGATGTTCATCCTTCAGCCCGCGGGACGCACTGCGGCGCACTTAATATGGTTATGCGGCTCACTGCACCTTCAATTTTTAGATACATTTTCATTTTTTGGTAAAGTGTGTCAATAATACAGAATTTTTATAATTGTATATATTTGCTATTAAAATTTGATATTCATATTTTCAACGTTTTAAAAGCTTATATTTATATAAAGTACTCTGTGGCCCGCTAAATATACGTAAATTTCTAATTTGTCCCATAAGGCAAAAAGGTTGAACAACCACAGTCTAAGGGAAATGTCTTCCGGAAAGGGTATCTTTTTAAGATTAAGAGATCCCTATAAAGGCGTTACAGATGTGGAGAAACCCGAAAAACTCCACGTGGCCAGTATATCCTAGCAAGGAGTGATCCTAAGACCGAACTTCCCAGTGTTCCTAGAAAATGTTTGGCCACTGGAAAGCCGCTTGTGTTTGTGTTCAACAAATATCAATAAGGAGATGAAACGATTCAATTCTTCGCTTAAGACAGTTGAAAAAAATTGAGTCAAATTTTTTGAACATATTTTCATATACAATGAAACTAACTCAAAGATTATTTAAAAGCTCAAATCTCACCCGTTTGAGAGAATTACAGAGAACTTTGTGAATTGTAGATTACGTGCCAAAATTCATACTAGTCTACTGCAAACTCTGAGCATTACTTAGATTCGTACAAAGAAATACTTTGTGGAAATGATATGGCGAGCAAGAAAATTCTTTTTGTAAATTAGAAGAAACTCTATATAATACCCCAAAACTGGCTTAATTGTTATAAACTAATAAACAGTAGTTTCAGGTATTGTAAGTTTTCATGCAGTAGTGGCAGCAAACTAATCACCGATTCAATAAACGCATTGAGAGAATCGCTATATGTTAACTTCAAATTGAAAAAAGGCTCTGGCTCTCCGCTTTGAATGTAAAAAAATTCACTAATACATTTACAGCAAAGACATCATCATGGAAACAAATTATAAGCCATTGGAATCGATACTGACAAAACAACTACAACTGCTTTTCCACAACTACAGAAATTGCTTTTTAATCTGTTTTAATATTTGCGTAAGATAATTTGAAAACAGGGTAAGGATGTACTGTACACATTTCAAATGATGTTATTCGCTGCTGTATTAATGACCCTTTAGATATGGAAGAGGTCCAATCGTTTGAAGTCGTTTTTGATTTATTTTTCCCAGTGATAAGTTTGTTAAAGTTTTTTTGGCAGCTGTCAATAATAGTAAAGAGTTATAGAAGAAAAAGCATGCAATTTTCGATAGTAGGCTTACGATAATCGAAAAATTCCTTAGAGTTTGCGCAAGTATTGGAATTATAGAAAAAGTATTAAATTACACTAATATTTGCCATTTAAAACAGAACGTATAGTAGTTCCTAGTACAGTAGCGCGTCGATTATCCGAAAGTCAATCATCCGAAACGTCAATTATCCGAAAGAATTCCAGTCGGCAAATTTAAATTTTTTGCCAGTGCTGTGGCGCTGCAATCTTTGGCTATGTCTTGGGCTACTCAAATATTTTACGTTTTTAATACTAAATTAACTTCTGAAGTATAATTTTTAATTGTTTTTATATTTTTCAATATATTTTTTTTGTTCGTACAAAATAAAAAAAACTAATTTTTAACGATACAATAATCTTCGTTAGGCTTAACATCGACGAAAATTCAACGCAAAGCGACACGCAACGGAGAAAAATTTCAACATGGGATAAATTAATATATTTTTTCGTATATAATCGGTTAACCGAAATATCGATCTTCGGAACAACCCCAGTCTTCAATTGATTCGAATAATCGACGCTCTACTGTACTTTAAATAACAAATTTTTAAAACTATTTTATCAACGTCATCTACGAGTCAATTTATCTCTACATTGTGCCAGACAGATTTCACGTTTGCATGGAACGATTCGTGACGTTGAAGCCTACGTACAAAGGATGTTTTCTTTGCCAGCCAAATATTGAAACTGAATCCAAAATTCTCTTACCTAATAGTAGTCACAGATATATTTCAATTTTCAGGAGCCCAGAATTGTGTTACCGCTGACAGTTCTTCAGGACACTTTAATATAAAAACATTAGAATATCTGATTTCTCTGGCAGTAATCTTTGATTTCAAGCACATTGCATAATAGATGTACTAAAATCAGATAACAATATACAATATCAGTCAGAAGCGTCTTACAACTTTACAAATAATTGGAAAATTTAACATATTACGTGAAGCACGCATTATCCCAAATCGAATGGATTCGCTGAACGGTATGTATAAATAGTAAAGCTAATTTCGAGATGTGACATGGAACAGATAGATATATACTTTTGAATTAAAGGAATATTGCTCGCAGAAAACGTCTATTGCATTCATAAATTAACATTTTTTTGTGTTAATTTTTTTTATTGTATCTATCACTTCTTCATTTTGTAAGAAAAGAAATCAAGTGTAAAGAGAGGGTGTTCAGTAGTTGCTTGAGCATAAGGAACGAATAGAAATAAAAAAGATTAAAAGCGTGTTTTGCTGTGACTCAAGTTTTTACTACATTTTTCAGTAAATAACTAAGGGATCACACTGTTAATAAGTAACAGTGTGTGATCTGTTATAACAATGCCTACATTAAATGCAGGAGCGCTGCTAGTACTGTATTAATTTGTAGGATGTAAAAGTGAAACAATAAAAATTCTATAACAATTGTAGTAAAGATAATTCAAGTTGACACACTGCAGAAAAAACATTGAGTAAACTAATGTAATTATCTTGCAATTCTGTCTGAAAAAAGGGAAGCAATATCAGTGATCAATTTTATGTATATGTAACTATTGTAAATAAAGTAAATGTTTCTTTGTCACGTTTAAAACGAAAAAGCTTTTATACATTTTGATATTTTACAACTATTTTTTCTCTATGTTTCGAATATATGAAAAAGTATATTTGTTGTGTTTTAAAATTACTATTAAATCTTCAGTAAATTTGATTATTTTAAGTAAATTATTTTGTTCTCTCACAATTTTTTAGGTTGATTCGTTTTGTAACACAAAAAAACCTTACTGAATGTTAATTTTAATTATTTCAAGATATTATTACAGTTAAATATTTATAAAAATATGAATTTTTAACTACTTACAAGTTCAATATAATCAGGAGTTACTGAAAAGGTATTCCAGTATTGTTGATTAGCGGTGAAAAGTTGATTCATTTCGTTTGTGTAGAAAAAAGTCAACGAAGAAGAAATGAAAAAGTTATCTTTTTCACGAAATATCTCCACAAAATATCCATTTTGGAAAAGCGAGTCAAGGAATTCAACTGAAAAATATAGTAATAGTTTATATAATATATTTTTTAAATAATATAAAATACCAATAATTATTAATAATTGTCATATAAAAACATCTTGTAACATTAAGTGTAGCTCATTCTAATATAGCTTACATAAATCTGCCCAACCAATTTAAGTCGTACAAAATGAGCGAAGATAAATAATACACTTAATTAATGAATTATTGTCTGACAGTTAAAACACTACGATAAACTACTTAGATATAGCTCGACGACTTGATAAACAAAAGATTTTTTAATGTATCAAACGAGAAATGTGTAATTAATAATTTGATTTTCACTCCAAACGTAAGTTTATTGTACTGTTTATATTTAAATAATTTTATTGTTCAAATCTGTAATTTATTTGTAACTTTCTATTGTACACTTTAATTTGTAACGACTATATAACAACTAAACAGAGACGTTACGAGTTGAAAATTATTATTTCGGCAACCAGAACAGTGCTTTTTTCAGCAATGTTTGGATGGACGAGATAATAATTTTGTTCTTTTTGGTAATATTGATATTTTCAATACAATTTGGCAGCTTTCACCTTTAAAATATAGCTGGAAAGTTTGAAAATTTATTATATTTTTCGTTAAAAAACTAAAATTACTTTTTATTAATATATTGTTTAATATTAATTGTTTAAAAAAACGAAGAGTAAGAATGATTTAAGTTTGATTCACTAAACAACATTCTATTTATTACTGTATGATATTGAACACTTACCATCTACTTTCTCATCTCCAATAAGGTACAACAATATGTAAGACAGTTTTAAGGGTAGAACCATGCTTTCAACTGTATTAAAAGAAAGACAATATTGCAATAATTATTTGTAAGAACATTTATAAACTATACATGAATAATAAAATATTGTTTTGTATATTATTTTTATAAGCAAATACTTTTTATTATTATAAAGAAGAATTGATTTTTTTCTAAATTCGTAATTAAAGAAATTTCCAGGCCCTATTATTGTGTAGTTATAAGAATATGTCTTACAGCTACAGAAGTTAAAACATATATTGTTACTGATTAAAATTACATTAAGAGAATCAAAGTTTTTCACGTTTAATATACTTACATTTCATTACAAAATGATTTATTTGACTCATTTTGCTTGTATTTTTAACTTGTAAGAGTTTCTTGTATAAAATAATTCTGGTAAATTGTAGCAACTACAATGATTTTATATAACAGGACACAAACTTCAGATGAAATTAAACAAACAGCTAGTCTAATACAATTGTTTAAGTACAATGTCATCAAATGACAAGCAAATATGTATGTACGTAATCAAATTAATAATGTATTCAATTTTATATAAAACGACATATGACATTTGTTCGCTTGCTTTTAAACTTGAAATTGCCAAGAACTCGGTTTTTTTACAACTTATGATAAAAATTTAATGTATCTAAATGTAATCTTAATGTTTCAATTTTCTTAATTAATATGTGAACAGGTAATGTCATTAGAAATTACCTGTTCAAGAGTCAAATGGTCAAAAATAAAGTAACCAGAAATACATAAAAATTGATTGCTGAAGATATAAGTGGTTCCTCACCTTCGAGTTTGCCTTTTTGTGTGTCTGTGCATGTGTCACATCTATTCCTTTGGATGCAGCTTAAAACTGTCTTCTGCCTCGAAGAGATGAAAATATTTGCCTGTAGTGAAGGGCATTGTATAACGAACGATAAGAACTATTGAAGCAATGGATCACTTTAGAATGCATTTTACTTCTTACAAACCGATTTTAATCTTTGTTGGAAATATTTTAGTTATTTGTGTTTACTTGTTATAATAACTCTTAGTCTTGCAGTTATAGCGCTTATGTGTTTTTAATTATAATGAATTTTTTTTATTATTATGCGTGAGTACGAAGAATCACTTCTGGAATGATTGGTTCTCTCAATCCTTATTTATTCTCTTACCTCAAGTTTCCCTACGAAACTATCAAAGAAAAGATTTCTGTGATCCAGAATATTACAGCTCGTGTCCGAAATACTCTGTAAGAACATACAATAATGGTTTATAAGCCTGCTCTTTTTTATGTTTCTTAAGTGAAATTGTAAGATTGAGTACACTAATATTCTATAATAAATTGATAATCGCTCTTATCGATGTTGTTTACTGTAAGTAGCTTTTTAGTCTCCGTCTTTACGTGATTAGTAACATCACTGGTATAATCCTTGGAAAGTTGAACACACTCATCAGTTCAAGTCATATCTGCTTTAATTCCATTGAGTTATTAATTTATAAGATAACTATTTGTTTTGATTTATAAGCTGAAACAATACAACAACTACTGTTTTTAAAGTATGTTTCAATATATTCAAGCAACTATTTATTGTGACATCGTAACAATGCCAGGCAACAACTTCTAATAATATTTGTAATTTATCTAATTTAAAATATATGCTCTCCACGCAGTAGCCTAGCAAGGGGGTGCAATGGGGTGTATCATGCACCGCATGCCACCCTCAGAGAGGCGCCCAAATGGTCTTCAAGACAAACTATATGTATATCTGGAGGGGGAGGGGGCACCAATAAAGTGTCGTGCCCCAGGCCCCAGTTATGTTCACTACGCCACTGTCTCTACTTCAAATTAGTAGCTTGCCCCTGTACATTATACTTTTCTTCTAAGAGTCGTGTTGTTCATCTAACATCTTTCAGGTTGAAGTTTTTGAATTTAAATAACGTGACTTCTGGTTTTCACTTGAGTTCGCAAACAGTTAATATTAATATAACGTTAGAATCTACTTTTAATCAAATTCAGGAGCAAAAAAAAACAAAACTAAGAACTTAAGAACTTCGAAAAAAAAGGCCAGTCATAAAAATTCATAATTTATACGTCTATTTGAATATAAAGAATAGAAAACACGACGGCATGTTCAGGGCTCGTTTTACTACCCTCCAAAGGGAAATGTCAGGGGAAAAGAAGTAGAAATCTAACATAAAACTGAGAGTAAACACGTTAAAGTAGGCCGAGTAATGGAATCACAAGCTCGAAATGGGTCCTATGGGCAAAGACAAAGAAGGAATAGAAAAAAGTTACATCTGTTAAAAAAAGAAAGTCCACATACTATGTCGAGTTGATCTTCAGAAAAAGATAGAGATTTTGAACTCATACCGCCTTTCAAAATCAATGGAACACCGGAAAATTTATCAACCGATACACGATCATAAAAAACACTTTATTCATACTTTAGTACAAGATTTAAGAAGAATATGATTAAACAAAGTATAGTTAAAGCTTTTAGGAATCACTGGACATGAAATAAAAATTTATTGAAGGTTCGATACTCGATTCAGTATGAGGCCCTTATAATTGTCCTACCCCTTCTGTGTAGTATACGAACAAATAACTTAACCGTTCGAAGGCAGGATATAATAGGATAGCTCAGCTAAACAAAAAGCCTTGCAAAGCAGAAATTACAAAGTCCAGAAAACAAAGTACTGAACACAAAGTAATTAAAGAACAAAGTGTTAGAGTTCCTGACACTACCTGACACCAGCAAGCACACGTTTACTGTTCTAATTCGTAACTAGATTATTTTTGGAATTTAGGAGGGGACGTACGTTTCGTGAGTGAAACGATGGAGTTATTACTTAATAATTATAATTAAAGTAACCAGACAAACTCAACATGTATACAAATTTTAATTTATTGACACAATTAACAAGAATATATAAATGGAACTTAAACAAAAATTTAGATTAACGTCCTAAACCCCAAAACATTCTTACCTACACGTCAAAATGGAAATTATTATCAAATGTAATATAATACTGTATTGGCCATGAATTAAAAACAGAGGGTGTTATTGAGGAAATTTTTCATAGGGTACGTCAGGTTAGGTTAGGTTAGGTCACTCTAACACTTTGGTAAAGAATAAAGAGGTCAACGATGAAACAACCAAAAGGTGATTAAAAATATCTCTTGAGCACAAAAGAGTTCCTATTTTCCCGAGTTCGGCATTTTGGTGTCTACGTGTGTGTTGCCTCTCTCCCTTTGCACACAATTTAAAACTATCTGCACCTAGATGAGATGAGAATGTTTGCCGTTGAACTATGTAGTGAAAGACTAAATAGACATTTTCTAGGAACCGTAAAAACTGTTTGGCAAGGGATTACATGACACTGAATTTAATAACATTCAGACCAATTTGTAATGTCACAGTGTTTTTTTTGCAGGTAGATAGATAGATATATGCAAACCTGTGTCAAGAAATATGTTAGTTATATTTGTAATGTTGTAGTAATACCTGTTACCAATAACAAATGTATTTTTATTATTATACTCGAATTAGTGAATCACTTCTACATTGTTCTCTCTGATTCCTCTGGCTTCTTACTCCACATAAGACTGCGCGCTCAAGAAAGAAAGGGTTCTTGTGTTACAACACATTATTGGTAATGTCAAACAACTGAGTCATTTCACGTGATCGGTCTGTCACCTCATTTAATATTATTTGTTATTTGGTTGTTTGTCTGTCTATCCGTCCTTTTTAAGTTTTAAGAACAGTGTTAGATAAATGACAGATGAGACTAACTTCGGAAATCTGAGGGTCTAGAGACCCTGTATATAGAAACTTTCTGTCTATAGAAGAAGGTGACATAATTTTAATTTAAAATTTTTCACTGAATAGAGTTGAATAAATCAGTGATTTACAAACTGTGGTACCCATATCCTACGCGTACACAAAGTGATACTTGGTGGTATGCCAAATTTCGTTAATACTGTATTCTATATTATATTATAGGGGGTACAACTTATTTTCGTCTAAGGGGTACGTGACCAAAAATGTTTGGAGACAATTTACATAGATGACAGCATGACTCAGTTGTCACCAGGAAAAGCGTGATGGGCAGGGGCAAGACATTACTGATTTGAAATGTTAAATATATTTGAAATTAAATAAATATATAATATTACAAAAAAATTGACTAATTGCTCTTTGTTATACAATTAAATGTAAACAATTATAAGTAGTAATTTAATACTTACAAATTATTTCAATTTATAAAATTGTTTACAGACCTGAAATCTAGAAACTTCTATGATCAAGCAAAGCAGAAATAAAATCTACGTAAAGTGAAAAAAGACAGATGGGTAATTATATGTTACAGTTCATTAACAAGTAAAAATTTATGAGTACTTTCAATTAATGTTTTTAATTGGATATCTGTTGCATGTCATTTGCAATTAAAATAATAACGAAGTTCATTAGTAGTTGCATGATAATATCAATTTTTTTTTTTATGTGTTTGAGAATTAATGTATCTTAAACCTTCGTTAGTCATATGAATTAAAGGCATATCTTGAGTCATGTGATGTCTCAGAGAGACAGGTTTGAAAATTAGGTTAGGTTAGTTAATTACTGTTAAAAGAGTGACAGACTACACCTGGCACCATTCTCTCATTAAATATCAATAAACTGCTAAATTTTTATGACTCTATAACAGAAGCTCTATTCTCCGTTAGAACTGGGTCAAATATAAACCTAAATGCTATGATTTGAATTTGAAAAGCTTTATAACTTTAAAAAATTGTAATAAAGGCATGCATTTGGTAAAATTGAGTTTATAATGTGACAAATATTATTTGCATAATGTATCCTAATTAAGGTATATACGTCATTAATTAATTGTCAAATTTTCTTACTACGTATGTATTAATGATTTGACGTCACTGTGCAGTTTTCTAGCAAAATACCTCGATTTAATATAGAGACCACATAATCGAAAACCTTAATTTCAGTAGTCTAATTGTTTACTGAATGACAAAAGGTTCA